TGCAAAACTCTAACCGTTTGAAAGCTGACTATATGCATCTCGTCCCAGCTTCAAGTTCAATGACATCATATTAATATACAGGCCAGCCATGGTAGAGTTTTTCTACCTCAAGAATCAACAAACACTACAAACCAGGGTTTTATTTCCTTGAGGGCAGTTGTTCATTATTCACCAGCACACTCTGTTACTTCTATATAAGATCTAGCCCAAAATATGGCACTAAATGAGAGTCCCTTGACATTTTCTTGTAACTCAAAATAATGACATAGTTCTGAAGCACCATTTCTTAATCTTAACATCAGCAGATGGTAATTGAAGAAGTATAAGATGTAAAAGCCTAACATTTTATTAGCTTTAAGAACTAAAGCATGCCTATGAATAAGACAGAAACCTTTGTGTCTTTCAATCAAGACTTCTAGCCATTATGTTGTTTGCCTGGGACTAACACCAATTGATAATGATAATGTACAAAAATTCCAGCATTCATTTCATTATAGTAAAAGCTAATTGCATGGGCCTATTATTGGAATATGCTTTCCTAGTTTAAACTAGTTGCATTTCAATAGGCTAAAGGAGGTTTTCTAGAGAAGCCCTACTGTGAAAAGATGAACTTTGTCTTAACAACTTTACTTTCAAAAACTATTCATTTATAGATGCCTACTTCACATCCCTGAACCAAAATGGCTCATTTGTTATGTAGATTACAAAGCAGTCACTTAAGAATAAAGAGGTTTCTTCTTTAGAGGCTCCAGCTAACTATATGCATAGGAGTAAGCTTGAAACCAGCAAGGAATACTTCCAAATATGACAGCAAAGAATTGTTTTGAACACTTCTGACTAAGCTGCACTAAACAAATGACCACCTCCTTCCCACTTTCCAACTCACTTTCAGGGGTCAATCTAGGGTTCCTCCTAAGAAAAGCTACCTTCTAGAACTCCTAGAGTTCTAGCTATAAGGTAAGAAATAGGCGTATAAAGGAGGAGTGCGACAAGAGGTAAAGAATAATGCTCTCTATAGCAGGTCTGATTCCAACAGCCCTTCACTAACTATCTTGTTTCAAAAGTTCTTAAGACCATTACTCAGAACTTAGAATGTAATTTCTCAGGAATAAAAGTAAATTTAACTTCCACCTGAAATACATTATTTTAGATATTAATCCTCATCTATAGCAGTGATTCTGCTAGAAAATGTAAATGTGCTCAGCATTCATAATTGGGACACTAACACCAACATTTGAACCTCATTGCAACTAGAGCCTTTCTCAGAAAAAGTAAAAAGACAAAGGAAGAAAGGTCTAGAAAAACTATGTAATACAAGAAGCAGGGAGAAAATGCCAGGTGGGGAAAACGACTGGAAATGGGGAAGGATGTGTACACATCACCCTGATACTGACATTCTTTGCCCCACTGATGCCTGGCAGTAGGAGGGCCTCATTAGATAGGTATACTTTAAGTAATCCATGAGTTTCTGATTTATACCTGCAAAGAGCCACTGCTCCAGGGAGTGAACTGCCAGACTAAGAAGAGCATACAAAGAGACAATTCTGAGCCCTGACCTGTCCGAAGAACCCTTTTTATACTAAAGACTCCTTTTACCACTTCCCTTAGGCTTCTAATTCCTCTGGAAGAGTGGAAGTAAGAATCTTTCAATAAGGGCATGATGGCTCACTCCTGTAATCCCCACTTCACAGGAGGCCAAAGGTAGAAAGGATATAGGTAAGAGGACTACAGTCTGAGGCCAGCCTGGGCAAAAACACAAGACCCTACCTGAAAAATAACTCAAGCAAAAAAGAAAGGGAGCTCAAGTGGTAAAGCACCTGCTTAACAAGCAGAAGACCCTGAGTTCAAGCCCACACCATCTCACCCAGAAAGGAAAGAAAGTATCCATATGGTCCCACCTCTTTTTTTAATGAACATTTACCATTCTTTCTTCCTCAGTTTCAAAATGCCCAAGCCCAGTGTACAATGTACAGTTCCAGAAGCTGAGGACACAGAATGAAATACAGGAACAATCCTCTAAGAAGTAGCTTGAAGGAGCCAATTATATAAAGTGGTAACTGCTTATCTGAGGGGAACACAAAGGGCACTATTAAAACATACAGCAGATAAGAAAAACCAAATATGGGGTGGGGTGGGGACTGAGTGTCAAGAAGACTCTGAGGAAGATGCCAAGGCTTGTGGGAGATAATGAATAACAAACAAAGCCAGGTGCCAGTGGCTAGCACCTATAATCCTAGCTACTTGGGAAGCTGATATAAAGAGGATCAAGGTCAACCTAGGCAAATAGTTCATGAGCTCCTACCTCTAAAACAACCAGGGCAAAAATGGACTGAAGGAAGAGGGCCTGTTTTAGAATTGCGAAGTCCAGAGTTCAAAATCCAGTACCTGCCCCCCCCAAAAAAAGAACAAAAGCTAGCCGACAGTAAAAGGGACTCAATTTTCCTCCAAGAGGCTAATGCACTGTGTGTGTCCACACAGTTCGACAGCACTGTATTTTGGGCCTATACCTAAGAATACTACATCTCCACAGAAGTGATTTTTTCTTTTTTTTGTGACAGGGTCTCACTATACAGCCTAGGCTGACCTTGAAATTACAATCCTACCAAATTCTGGGATTACTGGTGTCTACCATCATATCCAGCTGGAACCGATTTTTATACCAAAGCTTACCTCTCTACCATCCTCAACAAACTAATTTTTATACCAAAGTTAGGCTTTCATAGGCATTGAAGAGCAACTAAAGGATTTTAAGCAAGAAGTGGCAGAAGATCACTCTGGCAATTAAATGAAAGGCAGATTGCAAGGAGCCCCAAAGTTCTGAGACAATTTGCAACAGTCCAGGTATGATCCTGAAGGCCTGAACCAAAACAGTGGTACTGGGAATGGAGAGAAGGGGAGAGAAAGGGAAAGAGTGCAAAGGTAAATCAAACAGGATGAGGGAGGAGTTAAGACACAGGCTTCCCACTTGGGCAACAGATGATTAAACATACACACATGCACGCATACACAAAAGCTGCAGGGCTGGGGGAGGGGGGAAAAACCAGGGGGGAAAGCCGGGTTAGGTGGTACTCACCTGTAATTCTAACACTGAGACAGGGAGATCAAAAGCTCAAGGTCAGCCTGGGCTACATACACAGTGATACTCTCAACAAACAAACAAAGCAGGGGAAAGGGAAACAATGTGAGTTTGGAGGATACAGTACTGAGATCAGAAGTATACATGTAAAAAGGTTTAGGGATCTATTAGATGTACTTAGAGATGCTTGGAAGGTGGGAAGCTGTATTAATTTGGAGTTTGGCAAACAATTCAACTGAAGATACATACCTGAGCTGCTTTACAACAAAGGATTAGCTGAAAAGTACTCAAGAGAAAACCAATCTTAAATAAATATATACAGAGATGCAGGACCAAAGTAGGGCTTCAAAGTGAGACAGGATTTACACTGTTCCTTCAGTTCAGGGTTACACAAACTACAGCCCACCATTTGTTTTTGTGAATAAAGTTTTATTGGAACATGTCATGCCTATCCATTTACATACTGTTCAATGGATGCTTGTGTGGTGCAGTAGCAGAGTTCAACAGTTTCAAGAAAGCCTAAATATCCACTATCTGGCCCTTTACAAAAAAAATATTTGCCCACCCTGCTCTAGGCAATAGCCTGTGAACAAAGCCAATCCTATCAGCTATAGACCAAATAATTTCCAAATCCTCCTAGATTTGGTCTTTAGGGGAAGCTACATCTTTCTCTAAGGCTATGAAAGTAACTTTTATAGCTTTAAAAGTATGCTAGACTTAAAGAAGTACATTTCCCAAAATTTAAGCTGCTGACTTGGCTCTGTTTTATTAAATGGTGAGAAGGGTTCTTCACCAACTGCTTCAATCTTTAAACTACAAAGTACTGCTACCAGTGCTTTTAGGCAAGGCAACACCCTTAAATCTCTAAACAGAACAGACCATTTTTCCCACATATGGTTTTCAGTGCACCAAGAAAGACAAAAAGGCAGCTGTTGAGCAATAGAACTTTAACTCTATAAAACAGCCTTCCTGCACCTGTGACCAAAACAGAAGCAAGCAGACCTGGCTAAGTAAACTTTTGAAATAACTCCACCATACCAGTATACAGCTGCCTATGGCGTCAATGGCATCCCCAAAGCCATAAAAATGTTGAGTTCCACAGATTTTTCTTTCAATCATTAGTTCAGGATATAGAAACAGACTTAAGTCAAGGCAAAGACAATCTGTAATAATAATAATTATTATATAGTAACAGTTATATAACAATAATTATTATTCCTTGACCTTTACCAGCCTCATAAGTCTATCCAGCTAAAATGTGATTCTCCCATCAAGTTCTGTTATTACAGACAAGACAGAAGAAATCCTCAAACCTCTCTGACTCTGAGAAGGCTTTCTCAGGTGTATTTTAAACTTTCAAATGGCTTGTACTCTGGCACCTGTTAATTTTTCTTCAAATGATTTCATTTGAATTGCATCTATTCCAAGACTCTAATAGCCTAAACAAAATGTTTTAATGGTCTTAATATAGATGTCCTCTACCAAAGATATCTAATTCAAGGGAAATCTAAGAAAAAAACAGGTAAACAGTTCCTAGATTTGAGCACCAGTCTTTAATCACTATTGAAATCAACATATTCTGCTTCTATAGATCTTAAATTTGCTTTAAATTTCTCAGCCATTTGAAACAGTATGTACAAGTGGTTAATGATTTTGTATTTTCTTCCCATTTAAAAAAAAATCCATGCTCAAGTTATGATTGAATTAAAGAAAAAAGAAAATCTCACATACACACAAAATCTAGGACCAGGGCCATTCTCCCCAGCACTTTGCAATAGCGAATTCAGAGTTACAAGTCTTATTTCGTTTTGAAAGCTAAAAGCAAGGAAAATAGCTTTTCAGCTTTATATTTCATTTCTGGAAGTGGAAGTAGAAACAAGGCTTCAAGGTTACACAGTACACACAGAACATCCTGTCCACTTACCTACATACTTTGTGCTTGCTCACAGCTAATGGAAAAACCACCTGCAAAGTTCCATTTGCTCAGTCTCACATGTTGCCTACAAATTTAAGATTATGTTAAGTTTTATTTTGTTTTATAACAGCAACTTTTGCTGCCAAGGTGTTAACTGTGTATTACATTTACTAAAGACAGGAAGTAAACAAAACAATCTCATCTCCCACCCTGAAGACATACTCTCACATTCCTGCTCCTTGTAAATGTGTGCATGCTGAAGTTGGGAGTTGATGACATGAAAGTAAAGATAAGAGAATCATCAACACACTACAGGTTTCTGAGAAGAAAGGGCCCAAGCAAGGGTAGTATACAACACACACGTCTGTCTAGCTTGGTTTTTTTTTTTTTTTTTTTTTTTTTTTTTTTTGGTGGCACTGAGGTTTGAAATCAAGGTCTCACACTTGTTAGGCAGGCTCTCTTACCACTTGAGCCACTCTGCTAGCCCCTATCTAGTTTTTACTCTCAAGCATAGTTCTCTTGAAAAAGCTCTCCCTGGATTAAATCTGAAACTAATAAAAAGCATTTAGAGATATCATGAAAGGACTATGATTTTTAAATATCAAGTAGCTAGAAAAGATAAATAAGACTAAGTCCAGCCAGGCACAGTGGCTTATACCTGTAATTACAGCTACTTAGGCAGAAATAGGGAAGATCTCAGTTCAAGAACAAAAAAAATTTTTGTTTTTCAAAAAAAAAAAATTTAACCAAGGCCAGATTTCAACAAATTGGGCTGGTGTAATTCTAGCTACTCAGGAGAGGGAGGTCAGGAGAATCGAGGCAACAGGCCAGCACTGGCAAAAACAAAAAACCCTGAGACCTTATATGAAAAATAACTAAAGCAAAAAAGACCTGGGGGTATGGCTTAGTGATAGGATGTCTTCCTAACAAGCACAAGGTCCTGAGTTCAAACTCCAGTATCACAAAAAACAAAACACCTGCAACTAATTATAAGGTATAGAAAAGCTAATCTACCTGCATAGGATTCTCCTAAATTAAAAACAGCACCCATGGCTGGGGTTATAGTTCAGTGGGGTTATAGTTCCTTAGCATACATGAGGCCTTGGGTTCAATCCTCTACCCCACTAATTTATTAGCTAAATGTACTTGGGCAATGTTGACGGATGCCCTAGCATCTCAATGAACAAACCTTTGAATACATTCATTAAAACCAGCACAAGTATGATACTTCTTACCAAGAGCTGATGCCAGACATGCACACACCAACAAGTGCTTACCATTCTGTGCAGTATGATTCACATTTATTGTTTTAAAACACCATGATTTTCAAAATACAACTTTCTCCAATTTGGTCTCCTAAAGCTGCTTCCATTAAATTAGGTGCTGGCAAGCCTTAGCATTCATGCCTTAAACAAAGACAAATGCTCCTATTAAAAAGGACTAGCAGCTCAGGAATGCCAAAAATGGCAAGGGGCCCAAAAAATTCTCTCATATTGTGATCTACACACACACATATATTAACAAGAGGCATTCCAGCATTCTAAAGAAAGTTCTACATTCTTATTTGCTATGACATAGCAAAAGTTGAGAGACAAAGAATGAAAATATCCTCATGGAAGACAACGTCCAAAAATACAGATTCTTAAAATTATCAGTCCCATACAAAGGTACACCTATTCCTATTTGACAATATAATAACACCTGTGAAGACCTCCCGTTATCCCACATAAATCCAAAAAGTATAGGTGATGGTGAATGTATTTTGGATTCATATATAAAAACAGAATGAAGAAACCCGTCAAAATTATTCTTAAGGGGTAGAAGGGACGAGGAAGGATGATGGGGGGGTGAATCTAACTAAGATATACTGTAAGCACACATGTCAATGTCACCATGTACCTCCCATGTACAATTAGAAAAGTATATAATTTAGATACTTTATAGTATAAAAGTATGGATGAAATTAAATGTATCTATTGTGTCATTCTATCTTTCTCACTAGGATAGCCAATTTCCAACTCCTGTTTAAAGGAAAAACAATTTCTATTATCTGTTTCAAAAAGAAAAGAAACAAATGGCAAAAAATGTCAAACTAACAAGTTTAAAACTAAAATTTAAAACTTGGGAGCCAGGCGTGGTATTACACAGCTATAATGTGAGCACTAAAGAAGGCCGAAGCAGTAGGATAAGAGTTTGAGGCCAGGTTGGGCTACATAGCAAACCCCTGTCTTAAGAAAACAAAAAGGAATCAGCCAGGTGCCACCAGTTCATACCTGGTTTTTTTTTTTTTTTTTTTTTTTCTTTTCTCCATAGCTACTGGTGAGGCAGAGATCAGGAGGATCAAGGTTGGAGACCAGCTCATGCAAACAGATCCTATCTTGATCTTGAAAATAACACAAAAAAATGGCTGGCAAAGTGACTCAAGTGGTTGAGTACCTGCCTAGCAGGCATGAGGCCCTGAGTTCAATCCCTAGTACTGCCAAAAATAAAAATAAAAAACAACTTGGATTGACCATCAAGCTTTGGTAATTTTTTGGTTTTGTTTTGAGACAGTATCTTGTTTTATGGTCCAGGTTGACCTCAAATTACTTATCCTCCTGCCTCAGCTCCCCAAGTGCTAAGATTACAGGTTCATATCACTATACCAAGAACGCTTGTATTTTTAAATACCAGAAGATATTTCTAAACTTAAAAAAAAATCTCCTACTTATCTTAAAACCTTCAACCACAGCTCTGGGTGATTGCAACACAAAACTCCTCCTGCCTACATATATATCTGCAGGCTGTTCCCTGCTTACCCATTGGTCTCGCCAATCCTGCAACCCTGCAATCATGAACACTCATTAAGTTGCCTGAATGACAAATGGCCAAAAAACACATGAAAAAATGCTCACCATCTCTAGCAATAAAGGAAATGCAAATTAAAACCACACTAAGATTCCACCTCACCCCTGTTAGAATAGCCATCATCAGCAACACCAACAACAACAGGTGTTGGCAAGGATGCGGGGAAAAAGGAACCCTCTTACACTGTTGGTGGGAATGTAAACTAGTACAACCACTCTGGAAAAAAATTTGGAGGCTACTTAAAAAACTAGACATCGGTCTACCATTTGATCCAGCAATACCACTCTTGGGGATATACCCAAAAGACTGTGACACAGGTTACTCCAGAGCCACCTGCACACCCATGTTTATTGCGGCACTATTCACAATAGCCAAGTTATGGAAACAGCCAAGATGCCCCACCACTGACGAATGGATTAAGAAAATGTGGTATCTATATACAATGGAATTTTATGCAGCCATGAAGAAGAACAAAATGTTATCATTCACTGGTAAATGGATGGAATTGGAGAACACCATTCTGAGTGAGGTTAGCCTGGCCCAAAAGACCAAAAATCGTATGTTCTCCCTCATGTGTGGACATTAGATCAAGGGCAAACACAACAATGGGATTGGACTATGAGCACATGATAAAAGCGAGAGCACACAAGGGAGGGGTGAGGATAGGTAAGACACCTAAAGAATTAGCTAGTACTTGTTGCCCTTACTGCAGAGAAACTAAAGCAGATACTTTAAAAGCAACTGAGGCCAATAGGAAAAGGGGAACAGGAACTACAGAAAAGGTTAGATCAAAAAGAATTAACCTAGAAGGTAACACCCACGCACAAGAAATCAATGTGAGTCAATGCCCTGTATAGCTATCCTTATCTCAACCAGCAAAAACCCTTGTTCCTTCCTATTATTGCTTATACTCTCTCTACAACAAAATTAGAGATAAGGGCAAAATAGTTTCTGCTGGGTATTGAGGGGGTTGGGGGGAGAGGGAGGGGGCGGAGTGGGTGGTAAGGGAGGGGGTGGGGGCAGGGGGGTGAAATGACCCAAGCCTTGTATGCACATATGAATAAGAAAAAAAAAAAAAAAGTTGCCTGAATGATGTGATTTTACAGCTCTATGCTTTCACCTACTCCCCTTCTCTACACACAATATCCTTCAACCCCACTGCCTTCCAAAAAGACCTATTCATCTTTCAAGACCAAAGTCAAGCTTCATCTCTCTCAAGCAAGTTGCACATCACTCCTCTTCTGTGTCCTCTGACACTCACAGGCTTGACACTCATAGAGTGTAAGCGTCTTAGAATAGAAAAGATGAGTCTGACTTCTCTTGGTAACGTCTTTACTGTTTTGCAAAGGGTCTGACAGGAAAAAGGCACTAAAAATCTCTGATTAGAAAATACTAGATACCACTTCACACCCATCACACGGGCAAATGTGAAAACTGGCAGTTGGCGTGGCTATTAATAGTCTCATATGCTGCTCATGGGAGTGTTAAGTTTGGTGAAATCAGTCTGAAGAGTGATGTTTTTTCTTCTCTACCAAGCTGAAGATGTGCAATTTTGTTTCAGGTTATACTTGTTAGATATTTATTAGTCAAATGGCATTTTTTAAATGATGAGATACTTGTTTACTTCTCAAAGATGTTCCCTCATACTGTTGGGGTAAATATTTTTCCAGAGCAGGTAAGTATTTTATGAGTCTACTTTCCATTATACATATATGCACATATGAATGCTGGATCGCCTGAACTTGGGGCCTTGCCCTCCAGCCTCTAAACCACATTTCTTAAGTCTTTATAGCTAGTGAACAAAAGGCCTGAAAATGCTGGGTATGGTGGCTCACACCTGTAATTTTAGCTACTTAAGAGGAAGAGATCAGGAAGATCGAAGTTCAAAACCAGCTGTGGCGAATAGTTCTCGAGACCCTATCTTGAAAATACCCATCACACAGAAAAGGACTGGCAGAGTGGTTCAAATAGTTCCCGCCTAGGAAGCATGAGGCCCTGAGTTCAAAGCCCACTACCACCGAAGAAAAAAAAAAAAACTCTGAAGTAGGTAAGCCAAAATGTGACAAAACTGGGTAATGGCTGCTGTTCTATTATCATCTTATTCCTCATGCTTACTGTAGTACTTGAAACATTTCACCAATAAAAACTTTTTAGTGAAATGACTAGAACATGTCAAAAAAAAATCTTTAAAATGTGGAATAGGACTGGCAGAGTGGTTCAAGTGGTACAGTGCCTGCCTAGCAAGCATGAGGTCCTGAGTTCAATCCCCAGTACAACCAAGAAGAACAAGTCCTGGCATTTATAGTTCCAAACCAATCTATACTCTACCAATATAGTATTCTTTAAAAAGCTATGTGCTTATCTGTCAAACACTGTGCTAAACACTAGGTATACAATTTGATCTAACTGGTACAATAACAATCTACAGCGAGTATTATTTTTTTATTAAGCTGACTACATCACTGTTACAGTCACTGTTACTGACTGGTCTCTAGCCATTTTTTCCTTCCCCTTTTCTTTTCTGTGGTGCT